TGGAGTGATCCTGGCTCACCACAACCTCTGCCTCCAGGTTCAGGTTTTGAATCTCCATCTCAGCCCCCAAAATAGGGCTGGGATTACAGGTGCAATCCACCATGCCCTTGCTTAATTTTTGTTTTTTAGTAGTGCATTTGCCATTGTTGGCTAGACTGTCTTGAAATTTCCTGGCCCTTCAGGTGATCGCCTGCCTCAGCCTTCTCAAAGTGCTCAAAGTGCTGGGGAATACAGGTGTGAGCCCGGCCATAAGTTTCCATTTCTGATCAGTCCAATAGGAATTCCAATTGGGTCTTTTTAATTTTTTCATTTTTTCTGGAGGACCAGGTTCTCACTTTTGGTTGCCCCAGGCTGGAGTGCAGTGGCCACCATCCATGGCTCAATTGCAGTGTTCATACCTCCCACGCTCAGCAATCCTCCCACCCCATGCCTCCCAAGTAGCTGAAACTACAGGATGTACAGCACTATGTCTTAGGCTAAATTTTATTTACTTTTCTTTTTTTAGGGATGGGGTCTGCTGGTGGTGACCAGGCTGGTTTCAAAATGCTGGGCCTCAAGTGATCCTCGTCTGCTTCTCACCCCCTCGTACGGAGTGCGGGATTACACTTGTGAGCTACACAGTCTGGCGATTTGAGTCTTGTTTAAATCTCATCCCCTCCAATTCAGTGGAACTTGAACATCTTTCACTAAGCCAGTACATCTCCTCTGTGGAAGAGCTTGGTCCTTGGCCTTGTCTATTTTTTGTTTGGTTTGTACTTTTTTCTGTTATTTTTTTTTTTTGCAGACGGAGTTTCTCGCTTCTGTCGCCTAAGGCTGGAGTGCAGTGGCCGGATTCAGGCTTCACTGCAAGCTCCGCCTCCCGGGTTTACACCATTCTCCTGCCTCAGTTCCAAGTACTGGGACTACAGCCGCCACCAACCTTGCCCCGGCTAGTTTTTTGTATTTTTAAGTAGATGACGGGGTTTCACCATGTTAGCCAGGATGGTCTCGATCTCCTGACCTCGTGATCCGCCCACCTCGGCCTCCCAAAGTGCTGGGATTACAGGCTTGAGCCACCGCGCCCGGCCTGGTGGTTAACTTTTTCTTACTGATCTCTAGGAGTTCTTTACATATGAATTCTGAAGGCTGCCTCTTTCCCATATGTGTGGCCAGTATCTTCCCAGGCTGCGTGTGGCGTTTTTGCTTTATGTTATGTGCCATTTGTTGAACAGAAGTTTCTAACTTTTATGTGGTCAAAGAGAACAGCAAAAAACTGTCTGAGGCTCATGTAAGCACCAGACTTGTGACACCTTTTGTATGTCTCTGTCTGTTTTGTGGGGGTTTTTGTTTTGTTTTTTAGAGAAAGGGTCTCGCTCTGTTGCCCAGGCTGGAGTGCAGTGGTATGATCATGACTCACTGTAGCCTTAAAATCCTGGGCTCAAGTGATCCTCCCACCTCAGCCTCCTAAGTAGCTGGGACTACAGGTGCATACACCATCACATCCAGCTAATTTAAGAAGATTCTTAGAGATAAGCTTTCACAATGTTGCCCAGGCTGGTTTCAAACTCCTGGCCTCAAGCGATCCTCCCACCTCAGCCTCCCAAAGTGCTGGGACTACAAGTGTGAGCCACTGTGCCCCGTCCTACTTGGCTTTTCATATCTACAAAGAGCTTCTCCTTTCACGATCTCCTGAGTCCCACAAGGCCCTGGGAGGTGGCAGGAACAGAGATGATCGTTCTTACGACACAGATGAGAAGGCAGAGGCCCTGTCACAGCATCCTACTGTTCTGCCTCCTGGCACCCACTCTCTCCTCTTCCAGTAGGTGGCCCCTGCCTTTTCTCTTGAGGAACCTCATTCCTCACAATCTCTGTCCCTGTGGTTTGGATGGGGTTGACACCAGAGCAGGTACAGGGCCTAAGCCTGGCCAACCAGAGCATTTGATTTCCCAGGCCACAAGGATGGCATGAGGCCTGAGCAGGGCCAGTGAGAGCACTGTCCTATCTAGGACTTCGTTAGAATGACTGAGAAAGAGGCCATTTCTACTGACTTGAAGATGAAGTCAGTATAGAGGAAAGCAGATGCGAGGACAGAGACCTATTCCTGGCAATGTTTGAGGCTGGATCCAGCCATGCCTGAGACCTTCTACTCCTTAGGCCAGCTCAAGGTCTGGTTCTGGATCTTCGGTAACAGAGTCCTGACTAATACTGACCTAGTTATTGTGGGAAATCAAAGAGCCAAGACCTTTGATCTTGAACCATCATTACAAGTATAAAGAAGTACAGAAAAATAAGGGCCTCCCAATGCTATATTTATCTTTAGGTCTCGGTTTCCAAATCTGTGAAGTAGGGATAGCCACCCTGTCTCTTCCATCTCAGCTAACTCTGGCTTCTTCAGTGCCTCCTAGGCCTCTTGGGTGAAGGAGGGCACCCTGGCCCTCCTGTTCTGACCCCAAGGACCTTCTGAATGGGAGGCCAGGAAACAGTAGACGTGATAGAAATAATCAGCATAAAGGAAAACTAACATCAGCTTGAAGCTGCCCTAGAGAAAACTGGACGTGGTAAAGACCATGGCAAAAAAGAGAGAACAGGGAGGAAGGAAAAGAGAAAAATCTGACCCTATCAGCAGCTACAACTGGAAATTAGACCTGAAAAAAAATGAGTTAAATCTTTGGTGTAAAATTTACACATTAAAGGATAAACTCTGCTAAGAATAATTTCCATAACAATAAAAAACTGGAGAAAATCCTACACATCTCCTGGAACCATATGGAGATTTGCTTCAGGAATTAAATGGATTTCGGGGCATTCCCCTCTGGAAAATACTTTCTAGACAAAACGTCATTGATACTGATGTGTTTCTGAGAACATTTCTCAGCATCCTTCGGGTCGAAGCCTCCTGCGCGCAGCCAGAGCCGCTAGCCCTGTAGGCTGCATCCTGTTTCAGCAAGAACAGGTGAGGGGCACTAAGGAAAGGGGCCCAGAGCAGGCGCAGGGTGGCTGGCTCAGGGCCCAGCCCACTGCCCCAGGCCACTCACCGTGGTGATGAATCTGTACAGCGGCTGCCGTCTCTCTGTGTACTTGACCGTGATGGGGCTGAGGTCGTAGCGGAACCAGATGGCAGGGATGATGCGGCCTGTGTGGCTGTAGGCGACGTATTCCTGGGGTAGAGGATACGAGAATCAGAAGTACAAACTGTGTCCCAGGGTGGGTCGGTCTCCCAGTAACCCTCCAGAAAGGACTTTCCTCCCTCTCTGCTCCACAAAGCCAGACTCCCCCACTCCCTCTCTCACATCCCTTCCCCTGGAGGCCCTAAACTCCGCTGTGCACAGCTGGGCATTTTTGACCCCCTTGGTTGTTTAGAAATTGACCATGTGAGCTGCAAGCAGCACCACAATCAGAAAATACATTAGGAAGCAGAGCTGTAAAAGGAAAAGTGTAATTGTTGGCTGAGTAAAGGCCTATGGCCTCCTTCAACCCCTAGGCCATGCGAAATCCATTCATTTATTCAACAATGGTTTGCTGAACGCCTCCACTGTGGTGGCCCATGGCTGGCTGCTGGGGACCCCGAGGTGAGCAAGTCCTGCCCTTTCCCCAGAGGGAGTCACAGTCTGCAGAAGGAGGAAGACATAAGAATATCCCTAACACTGCGACATCACGCATGTTGGATGGAGGGTCATGGAGAGTTGAGGGGGCCATGAACAAATGAACGAATGACCCATTCTCCCAGGAGGCATCTGGGAGACTGGGGAGGGGACATTCTGAGCCACACATGATGGATAAACAGGAGACCCAGTGTGTGTGTGTGTGTGTGTGAGACGGGTGTAAACGCCGTGTGGGGAGTGGGCTAGCTTCTTCAGAGGAATGGACTGAACTGCAAAGCCAGAAGGCCCCGCCCTGCCACCAACCTTCCCGAGAATGCACACAGCAGGGACTAAGGATACTAAGGGGCTGAGCTGACAGTGCGTCCTTGGGCCAGCCCCTCCCTCCCTCAGGGACTTGGTTTCCCCATCTAAACACTGATGGGCCTGGGATGATGACCCCTGGGATCTCTCCGGTTTGGGTACTTCAAGGTGCTAAAATCTGCAACAACTGGAGACCATATTGAACCACTGGGGTACCCCCAACCCCAAATGCTGAGCCTGAGGAGCCCAGGCCACTCCAGAGGTAACACCGAGCCCTGACCTCCCACTGGGTCACTGCTGCCTGCTCCCAGGGCAGAGTGCGGCTGCAGCCGCAGAGAAGCTGAGCAAGCTGCTCTGGCTGCTCGGCCTCGCCAAAGCATTGGGAAAAGGAGCTTTGAGTAAGGGAAGATCAGCTTTCTCTAGGAGAGCTTCTGGGGTAGGTTGACTGTCTGGGTCACAGCCTAGAGCTGAGGGACAGAGAAAAAGAGTGAAAAATAGCAACAGTCAGTATCATTTACCTAAAGGTTTTTTTTTTTTTGGTGGGCTAGGCATTTTTGAAAACATTGCCTCATGTGACAGCAATCTTATAAAGTATCATCTCTATTTTATGAATGAGTAAACTGAGGCACACAGTGGCTATGTGACCTGTCCCAGGTCAATAGCTAGTGAATGTCTGAGCTGGAATTTGAACTGCAGTGTGGTCCTGAGCTTGCATCTGTGCTTTTCCATCTGTTAGCTGCTGTGAACATGTGAGGGTTACAATGAGATGCCTCTTGTGAAACAGTGAATAAAAGAAACAGAGCTCCCGGGAACATCAATTTAGGGCGAGTCAGAACAGAGGGACTGGACAGAGAGCAGCTCGCAGGTGGGCAGACTCACAGCCCCTTCCTTAGACTGAGGCATGAGGTGATCAAGAAGCCAGGCTCTGGAGCTCAAGGAAAACCTGTTCTAATCCCCACTGAGCCACTTTATAGCTCTACAACCACCTCTCAGTGCCTCCACGGCCAAATCAACAAAATGGGCTCAATAACAGTCTCAACATCAGAGCTGTCACGATGATTGAGAAGATGGAAGAAGAGAGCTTAGCACGTCTAGCCCCCAGGAAGTACTCAATGACTGACAGCTATGCCTCCTACTATTGTTATAATTAACTGAACTAAACAGGTATCACTTATAAGGGGTTTGGGCAGCCTTGGAATGGAAGAAAAAGGACAGTCCTGGTGGTAAGTGGGAAAAACCCATCCAGTAGGGTCTAGCAGGGGCATCTCAACCAACAGGCTTCAAGTATTCATGTCCCATTGGTGTGGTGCCCCCGGGGAAGCCCAAGGCTGTCTTGGCTTGAGACTACTAATTTCTGGGCCATCCCACTCTGCAGACTCTGACCATGCTCTGCTGCCCACTAAGGCCTGGTGTCTTCTCCATGACTTTGAGTGTTGGGGTCCTGGGGACACCCCTGTCAATCAACAGCAAATTAACCAACAGCCATCTTGGTGTGACTCAGCAGCCTCATGAGTTTGGGTAAAGTGCCTGTGCCCTGAGAGCAGCAGTGTCTGTGTGTGTTGAGCACCCTGGGGTCTGTGTCTAAAGGACTCGGACCAGATGCAGGGCTGTTTGAGAAACAGCCCTGCAACCCCAGGACCTTTGTAGGACGGAGCCTACCTGCTCTTTCTCAAACCCTATCTCCTGGTTAGATCTGTTCTCCTTGACTCTGAGACTGCCACATGGCAGGGACTAGGCCTTTCACCTTTACCCAGAGACAGAGCCTGGCCCAAGCTAACCCCCAGGAAAGGCCTCCAGAAAGGAACCGGAAGAAAGTGCGTCGGTGCAGCCGCCTGTCGTCTCTGCTCTCGGTCAGCAGAGGGCGCCGCCGCACAGAGCTCGGCCCAGCCATTGCCTGCGCACCTTGTTGGCCACCGTGTACTGGTAGGAGTACCGCTGCTTGCCACTCTTGTCCTCATAAACCGTGGGTACAATCTTCAGGATGTAGTCGTGGGAGGCCAGGGCTGCAGGAAGGACACAGCAGAATGAAGCAGGGGGACAGGCACTGCCCGCTGACAGCTCTATGTCATTTCAGTCCTAATCCTAAACCCCTTGGGCACAACAGGGGGCTCATTCCCCACAGTTTTACCACCAACCAACTGCTCTTCATCTCCCCTTGGATACCGGGAATTGGGAGACTCTATCCATCAGGATCTTCCTCCTGCACTGTATACATTATTAAAATTCTGGAAACAACCCAAACGTCCATCGACAGAGCAACCATGAAAGAGTGAGTGTTGGCCGGGCGTGGTCACTTACACCTGTAATCCCAATACTTTGGGAGGCCGAGGTGGGTGGATCTTCTGCAGTCAGGAGTTCGAGACCAGCCTGGCCAAGATGGTGAAACCCCGTCTCTACTAAAAATTCAAAAATCCCAGCTACTCAGGAGGCTGAGTCAGGAGAATCGCCTGAACCTGGGAGGCAGAGGATGCAGTGAGCTAAGATCACACCACTACACTCCAGCCTGGGTGACAGAGCAAGACTCCGTCTCAAAAAAAAAAAAAAAAAAAAAAAGTGGGTGCTAGGAGCAGCTATTCTCCAACAGGGAAAAGAACCAAGTCATGGATTGGGGGAGGGGGAGACACTCTCTATCCATGTAAATATATAGGAGAATTATCTGGAAAGATGCCCAAGGAACCACGGGCAGCTTTAGCTTCTGGGGAGGAAGGCAGGATTTGAGAAAGATCCCATTTCATTGTACAGCCTCTGATATTGTTTGAATAGTTTTACTTTTAAAACAAACTATGTTTCAGTATTAAAAAGAAAAGAGCCTATCAACCAGAAAAACTGCACCGATGAAGCATTGAGTAACTGAAAATGGGGAAAGAAATCAACGGCAGATCAGTTCTTCCTGGATGGGGGAGCTGCTGAAGGCAGGGATGGAGCCTTACTCATCTCTGTGTCCCCAGAGCCCCGTGCAGGGCCTGGTACCAAGTGGACCGTGGCAAATGCTTACTGAATGAATGAACGGATGGAAAGATGACTGGACAGGGGCATGAATGAAAGCACAAATGAATCAGCTGCTGATAAGCATGAGGTAACTGGAGTCCAATGCTGGGCTAATAGAATGCTGGCCCAGAGCGGCCAGATATCACCCAGGAAAGGTATGAACTGTCCTGGGCCTTCCGGGATGCTTACAGGAAGCTCACGGGCCTTCCAGAATCTCGGTTCACGGACTACAGAGCTAAAATAACACAGCAATTTAGGCCTGTGGGTTCTAAGCCTGGTCGCATAGCCGAGTCAGTCCTCTTCTGTTAGAAGGCTGGGGATGCAGACAGCATTCACTGCCCTAACACTCCCTCCCTGCCCCGACACTCCCTTCCTGTCCCTTCCTGCCAAAGCCACATCTCAGTAAGCAAAGGAAGTGCTTCCTGAATCGTTCTGAGTGGGTTCCTCTGAAAACCTGAGGCAAGTCCTGCAGCCGCCGAGCCAAGTCCATGAAGACTCCAACATCTCTCTGTTCAACCCCGTAATGGTTCTCAGATGTCAGAAGCAGTCGAATCATTTGGATTAAAGGACACCTGGGCCTCTTTCCAGGAGCAGCCCATTAAATGGGTCAAGGGTGGAGCTCAGTATTTACATTTTTAAAACAAGAGCCCAAGACCACGCTTGACAGTGGTGTCCAAATGCCTATTGCCCTACGTTAAAAACCTGAAGCAATGAAAAAGTGAATGCCTTATCAAAATCACCCCTGTAATATTTCTTGCTAAAATTTGTACAAGGCTGGACATGGTGGCTCATGCCTGTAATGCCAGCACTTAGGGAGGCTGAGGTGGGAGGATCACTTGAGGTGAGGAGTTCAAGACCAGCCTGGCCAACATAGTGAAACCTCATCTCTACTAAAAATACAAAAATTAGCCAGGCGTGGTGGCACACACCTGTAGTCCCGGCTACTAGGGAGGCCGAGGCAGGAGAATTGCTGGTTGCAGTGAGCCGCCACTGCTCTCCAGCCTGGGCAGTAGAGTGAGACTCCATCTCAAAAAAAAAAAAATCACCCATAAATTCACCATCAGAAAACTATGGTTCACATTCTCACATATAAACTGCCAGACATGTTTATATATACACTTATATTTTCCTAAAATAGCACCATACTGTATCTTTTTGTAAGAACTGAACATCATGAACTTTTCAGGTCTAAGACACAGAACATAAGCACCATAGAGGTTTGTTTTATTCATCTCTCTATCCCCAGAACCTAGCCCAATGTCCAGTATATAGCATGTGCTCAATAAATGTTTGCTGCCTGACTGCCAGCAAGGTCCTGACACTCCTCGCTCATCTTGGGCAGTTACCATGCTCAATCAACCCCCATGCCTGAATACTGACGTGGTTCCTCATTTTCATTCTTACAAACAATGACCTAATGAACATTATTTTCCTAGATCTTTGTACACTCTCTTAATTATTTCCTTAGCTTACTCTCCTATGAGTACAATTGATGACTCAAAGGCAATGACCATTTTTAAGGCCTTTAATACAATTTGCCAAGTGCCCACTGGAGACACTGCAGTTAATTAGACCCATGTGGACTCCTTGTGAGTTGACCATTCCTAGAGACTGCTGGCTCCAACCTGGTCTAGGCCGGCCCACACTCCCTTCAGGCTCACTCCCTCCTCCCCTACCCGTATAATCTTCTTATGGAAAAATTCAAATCTAAAACATAGGGAATCGTATAACGGCCTCCCACGTACCCACTTCCCAACTTCAGCAATTACCGACGTCTGGCCAATCTTGCTTTGAGTCATCCCTATCCCGCCACTGGAGTGGGGCCCAGAACCTGCATTTTTAAACCAGCAGCCCATATATATGTGTGTGTGTGTGTATACTTACATACACATATACACACACACATATATGTGACAGCCCATATTATGTTACATATACATGACAAGCTGGTTTCATCCCAGTTATGTCATTTGGGACCAGTTAAACAACTCAGTATCACAATACAAGACACAATTTGATATAGGAAAGGTTCTCCTTAGATTCTGCCCTAGGGGATCTCGTTCCTGAAGTTAGCTGTTGACGACAATGACGCGAACGGCCAACATTTATTGAGCACTCACAATGTGGCAGGCCGTGTACTAAACTCTGTACACGTATCTCATTAATCCTCATGGCAAGGCTTAAGGTGGAGAGGATTCTTCCCACTTTACAGATGCAAAAACTGAGGCTTAGCAGAGTTAAATGACTTTCCCAAGACCACAGGGCTGGGAAAGAGTGGAGCGGGACACTGGAGGCCAAGGTCCTCACGACCGCACTGCACCACCATCTGGCCGGAGCTCTTCCACGGTGGCCTCCAGGCCTCTAATAATTGATTATACACCCACTATACCCTGGGCACAGGGCTGGGTCCTGGGGACAAAGCAGTGGGCAAGGCAGAGTGCTATGTTCTAGCTGGTGCAACAGCCAAGGGCAGCAGATGACTGGGAGAACAAGGTGATTTCAGAAAGTGGTCTATGCTAGGAAGAAAAAACAGGTTTGTCCTTAGGAGTGGGGGTTACTTTAGATAGGGTGACCAGCGAGGGCTTCTTGGAGGTGGTGGCATTTGAACTGAGACCTTAATGCTATGAAGCAACCCCCACAGCAAGACCTGGGCACAGAGGGACCTCCAAAGGCAAAGGCCCAGTGCCGGGGACTGAGCTTGGAAGCCGAGGAAATAAAAGCCAGCCCTTCCCCGGCTGTCCCTCGCTTGATCTCATACTTTTTCTCTCCACTTAAGCCAGCCTGAGATGACTTTCGTCACTAGCCCTGGAGAAGGCAAGGTTTTCTGTCCACACCCTCTCTGCTTGCACACTCTGGGCCTTCTTAGCTTGATCCTCTTTCCTGTCCAGCAGCTGAGGCGTCCATCATAGCTGCGAACATTTGTGGACGGCCAACATGGGATGGCATGTTACCATGACACAAAACGACAATGACCACAGCACCACACCAAGAATCATCTACCTCTATTACAACCAGACATTTGCATTCAAATAAGGAGGTGCTGCCGTCTACTTATCCGTTGCTGGAGGCAGCATGAATGGGAACCAGACACAGCTGGAAAGCAATCGGGTAACACAGCGCCAACCCTGTACATATCAGAGGCATTACTGCCACGATGAAACACAGAAAACAGCAGTTGCTTCCCAGTGAGAAGACAATGCCTTAGAAAAGCCGAGCAGAGCCACGCACGGTGGCTCAAGCCTGTAATCCCAGCACTTTGGGAGGCCGAGACGGGCGGATCACGAGGTCAGGAGATCGAGACCATCCTGGCTAACCCGGTGAAACCCCGTCTCTACTAAAAAATACAAAAAAAAAACCTAGCCAGGCGAGGTGGCGAGCGCCTGTAGTCCCAGCTACTTAGGAGGCTGAGGCAGGAGAATGGCGTAAATCCAGAAGGCGGAGCTTACAGTGAGCTGAGATCCGGCCACTGCACTCCAGCCTGGGCAACAGAGTGAGACTCCGTCTCAAAAAAAAAAAAAAAGAAAAGCTGAGCAGAGGGGGACAGATCACCTGAAGTCAGGAGTTCGAGACCAGCCTGGCCAACGTGGTGAAACCCTGTCTCTACTAAAAATACAAAAAATTAGCCGGGCATAGTGGCGGGCACCTGTAATCCCAATTACCCAGAGACTGAGACAGGAGAATTGCTTGAACCCGGGAGGCTGCGGTTGCAGTGAGCCGAGACTGTGCCATTGAACTCTAGCCTGGGTGGCAGAGTGAGACTCTATCTCAAAAAGAAAAAAAAGAAAGAAAGAAAAGCACAGCAGAGCTGCAAGATGGACAACTGTGCTCCCATTACAACTGGAAAGTAAGAAAATCATGGCTATGTAATAAGGTCAGGTACAGAAAGCAGACAGTCAACTGCGATCCATGCCTTGGAAAAAAAGAAAAGTGACTTCTGCTTATGGACAAGGATTCACAGGGACACAGAAAAATGAGGTTTGATTTGTCAGGGGGCAGGTCACAGAGGAATGTTTTCTTTGCCTTGGTTCCCTGACAATGGGAGAGCAAACACATTTCAGGAAATAATAAGAAAAGACGTGGATTAAAAGGTGAGCTCAGGTGAGGAAATAAGAAAAATCCAGGTACCCTGTGCAGCAGTGGGTCTGCGGGTCTGCTTGAGCAGACAGGCCTCCTGGGCCCATTCTGTGCACGGGTCTGAGGCCATGTGAGCTCATGTGTGTTGGTGTGCACGCACAGGTATGCATTCTCTCCTGTCTGCATGTGGAGATGTGCTGTTTTCTTTGATCTGGGCCAAGGTGCCAGGGAGCTAAGGAGGGTGAGGACTCTAGGAGGAGCCACTGTCGATGGGAGGAGTTTGAGCAGGAGGAGAGTGAGGTGTGGGGGAGGCAGCCATGTGGTCAGACCTGACTGGGCCACCCACAGACCTGTTCTCACGATGCGACCTGGAGCCAGAACAGATTCTGGTTCTGCCGTAGCTCCCTGTGGGATCTTAGGTAATTAGTTCAACTAAGGATGACGATGTGGCTGTGATGACAACAACAATAATGGTAATAGCTGGTATCCACTGTGTGCATGCGTCTGCTGTGCCAAGGGATGGCATGTACCTTCCCCGGGACAAGCCTTCTTCCTTCTCCGTCAGATGGGGCTGGGTCCACCTTCCTACTGGCTAGCTGTGGGAATGGAGCGTGAGCAGCCTCCCTGCCTCGGAGTGGGTGCTGGACAGGCACCCCCACCCCTCTGCCCTCCCCCATCCCTGCCTGCTGTACTGGGCATCTTGGAGCAGAAGGCTGTTCCCAGCAGGGATACATACGGTTGGAGGTGAGTCTGTCTGCTCCCCCGAGAGCATTGAAAGCTCCGTGGACGTTCTGGACCTGTGGAAAAATTCAGTGAGGGGATGGTCCCCAGGACACCTCCACCTCCAGGCCTGGTCCTGGTTGTGGGGGATGGCCAGGTGCCACCTGGTCTAGGAACCCTACCAGTGTGTAAAAGGGGGCTCCAGGAGATTTGTGGTGAGCAAGAGGCAGCACGGGCCTGGCACACAGTAGGCACAAGCTTGTTTCCCATCTCTAGCAACTACTATGTGATGCTCTATCCTGGCCCCTTCATATAATTTTATTTCATGCCCCAACTGATGTATCATTGGGCCCATTTTACAGAAAAGCAACTCAAGGCTTGGAAAGACACCAAAACTTGCCCGGCTGGTAAGTGGCTAAGCTAAACTCTGAAATCAGCTCTGTCTGACACAAGCTGGACTCTTTACATGAAGCCACACAGAAAATTCAAGTGAACGTGGATTCTGGGTCCAGAAGGTTTCTCCTGAGATCCCAGGGTCTCCTGAAAGGTCCATAGAGGAGTCCAGGCAGGGGTGCCCCAGCGTGTGGGCCCCCCATCATGTCTGCTGCAGAGAACACACAGCAGGTGTGAAGAGAACCCTCCTCCGGGCAGCGGGGTGGGCTGCTGTAGAGTGGGACTGAAAACCACATCCCACCTTTTCTCTGAGGACAATGGGAAACCAGGTTGGCCTCAAGGAACATCTAAAGAAGGACAAGGCATACCTGGTAAATGGAGCATGCTACCGTGGGCATAGTTAACAGGGGTTATTGAGCTAGACACCCTGGAGGGCTTCCTGGAGGAAATGACATTGACACCAAGATCTGGAGGAAAGTGGGAAGTTAAACTGGTGAGCAGCACGTACAAAGGCTTGAGTCTGGAGACAGGCCCACACGGCCCCCAGGAGGAAGGAAGTGAGGTGTCTGAATAGAAGGAAGGAGGAGACATCAGAGAGGTAGGCGGGGACATGATTCTGTGGAGATGGCCACTCCAGGAGCAGCGGGCAGCAGCAGGATGGTGTAATCCCTGATCTTGGTCTCAGGAGGCTGATGTTGACTGAGCACTTCACACAACTGCGTGTTCTCAACAAGCAATTCCTCAACACGTGGAAGGAGCTGCAATTCCTCAACAAGGAAAAGGAAGTTTGTCTATTTGCTGTCTTGAGACTGACCATGAGAAGGCTTCATTTCTTTTTTTTTTTTTTTTGAGACGGAGTCTGGCTCTGTTGCCCAGGCTGGAGTGCAGTGGCCGGATCTCAGCTCACTGCAAGCCCCGCCTCCCAGGTTCACGCCATTCTCCTGCCTCAGCCTCCCGAGTAGCTGGGAGTACAGGCGCCCGCCACCTCGCCCGGCTAATTTTTTTTGTATTTTAGTAGAGACGGGGTTTCACCGTGTTAGCCAGGATGGTCTCGATCTCCTGAACTCGTGATCCGCCCGTCTCGGCCTCCCAAAGTGCTGGGATTACAGGCTTGAGCCACCGCGCCCGGCCCAGAAGGCTTCATTTCTAACCCATGAGAACCGTGGTTACGGAGACAAGAAGGCTAGAATGTTCTCTTCCATTGTCATGTGTCATGGCTTTATCTCACATTTATTTGTACCATTTATTTTTATTTTTTAGTTTTTTGAGAGGAGTCTTACTCTGTTATCCATGCTGGAGTGCAGTGGCACGATCCCGGCTCACTGCAATCTCCATCTCCCGGGTTCAAGCGATTCTCCTGCCTCAGCCTCCTGAGTAGCTGGGATTACAGGTGCCCGCCACCACGCCCGGCTAATTTTTGTATTTTTAGTAGAAACGGAGTTTCACCGTGTTGGCCAGGCTGGTCTCAAACTTCTGACCGCAAGCAGTTTACCCGCCTCAGCCTCCCAAAGTGCTGGGATTACAGGCGTGAGCCATCGCGCCCGGCCTGTACCATTATTTGATTAACATCTGTCTTCCCCTCTAGACTGGAAGCTCCGGGTGGGCAGGGACCATGTGTGTCCTCACCGAGGTATGCAAGGCCTGGAACATGGTAGGTACTTTATACATATTTGTTGAATAGATGGATGGACAGAAAATGAATGGATGGATGGGCCCTAAGCTAAGTTTTGTACATTTTTTTTAAAAAATCAGATTTCCACCCCACTAATGACTAAACTTGGGACCGTAGTTTCTGTGTCCTTCTGTTTTGCCCCTGCGTGCGGCAATGCGAGACCACTGCTCCTCCCTCCTCAGCTCCTCCTCTGCTCCTCTCCCCTCCACCCTGCCTTGGTCTGGGCCCTTCTCTCACCTCCCTGCCTATACTCTTGCCTCCTGGGTCCATCTTCCTTGCTGCAGATGGGTGCTCTGAGTCACCAACCAGACCTTCAGTCTCCACCTTCCTCAATCTAACATGAGTCTCTTGCACCCCACACACCCCACCTCCCGGCTTCCACTTCAGGCAAGTGCTTCTGGGCCCTCTCAGCTGTCGAGCGAGCCTTTGTGCCCTGGGCCCCTGGCATCTCGGCACAGAACATGCCATGCCACATACGCTTACTGATCCATTTTGCTGAAAGTAACGTTGAGGGTCTTTCATATGAAATCCACCAGCTGGGTGCTGTAGGAGAGGGGTGATGTTTGAGACACCCCCTGCCTAGGACCCGTTTCCCTGTTCTGTTCCTGGTGAAACCCTTCTTACCCTTCCAGGCTTGGCTCAGATGTCACTTTAAGGGTAGCTCTTCCTTGTCCCCAGAGAGGACAGAGGGCACTGAGTGACAGAGCCCCAGAAGGCCCACCCCCAGCCATGCCATCTCGAGTGTCCCCTGCTCACCTGTAGCGTGTCCCCAAAGGAGAGCTTGTGGATGACATGCGTCATGTCCGGGTTCTGTGGCTGGGCTGTGGCACTGTGTGTGGACACGTGGAAGTTGCCGGGGACCTGGGGGAGAAATGCTGAGTTTCAGGAGTCTGGTCACCTTCTCCAGGGGGAGGAACACTGGGGCTTCACGCTGTGTGACCCAGGGAGGACACTGGAATCAGGCAGATCTGGGTTTGGATCCTGCCTGTATCATTTTCAACCGTGCAAAGGAGTCATCCCATCTCTCCGGGCCTCAGGCTCCTCATCTGCAGAATGGGGGCACTACCATAGCTTCCGAGGGTGCTGCCAGGACTCTCTGGTGAGAGGGGGCATGTGAAGTGCCCACCTGGGCAACGGGCACAAAGCCAGGCCTCATGGCAGCTGCTCCCCCTCCAGCTCTGTGGATTCTGGGTGGCTGACCCCACAGTGGGCTGGGGGATGACCTTTGAGCCTGTAGATTAATGGGGCTTCCTCGGACTCCAAATCCCTATCATTTCCTACCCAAGTTTGCCCCAGTGCCCTAGACAGGGGATCCCTGATAGACAGACTGTGGCAGCCTCATCTCTTCCCCAGGTCTCAAGCCCTTGAGAGCCAAGCCAGCAAGAGGTGCCAGATGAGTATTTATAGAACGAAGGATGTTGGTGACAGCCATGTGGCAGAAGCCACCTCAGCTTCTCCCTGTTTCAGCACAAAGTCCCTCCTCCTTCTCCCCCTCCTCCACCTCCTCCTCCCAGATGCTCAGACTAGAACTCTTGGTATGATCCCGGAACCCCCGTCTCACTCCCGACATCCCATCCCTCAGGCGAAACCCTGTCAGTCCACCTTCCAAACACACCTGGCACCTGAGCTCTTCTCTGCTGCCCTGGTCCAAGGTCGTCTCTTCATAGAGAAGAATGGCAGGCTCCTCCCTGGGCTGCCAGCTTCCACGTTCCCCACAGCCTGGGCCTTTCCCCAATAATGACTGGTAAGATCTTTTTAAAACTACATCAGATCTTATCACTCCTCTGCCCAGAACCCTCCACGGCTTCTATTCTCTCAGAGTCCAAGTCCACGTCCTCGGGGTGACCCACAGGCCACATCTGGCCACTGGTCAAGCATCATGTCCCCACCTCCTGGCCTCCTGCCGCCACGTCCTCTGCTGCTTCCTGCATGATCTCCCTGCCGTGCTGGGAACAGCATCCAGTGTGGCTCCATTTCAAGCCTTTGTGCCTGACCCTTTCCTGGGACCCTCTTCCACACGGCCCTCCCTCGGCCCCTCAGGGCCCAACAGAGAGGCCCTCCATGTCCACCTGTGCACGAGAGCATCCTGACCCCATTCCCCATCCCCTTACCTGCTACAGCCTCTGGGATCACCTGCTATCTCATACCCGTCTGGTTCTCATCTGCCTCCTTGCATTAGCAGGTCCACACCCTGCTGCGCTCCCTGGACACCGACGCATAGCAGGCACTCAATAGACACTTCTCGAATGAATGAACGACTAAACAACACTGAATCCTTCGACTTTGTGATCTGATAATTCCCATTTTACAGAAAAGAAAATGGAGGCTCAGAGCAGTGAAGAAACTTGCTAAGGTCACATGTTGAGAGCTGCAGTCTGAGCTCACGTCTGTTGGACACGCTGCTCCCTCCTCTGGTGCCGGATGCCATCTACCTCCGCAGCCTGGGCTGATGGCCACATGGCGCCAGTCCTTCAGGAGGTGCCAGGACTGGGGAGATGAGCAGACAAGAATCGGGCCTTGGCCAAGCCCCTGTGACACAGACTTGGAACAATGAGACTCTGCGGGATCCACCCTGACCCAGAGGAATCTGCAGACCATGGGGGTTACAGGGAAGGCCCCCAACTCAATGGAGGTTGCAGGCTGTATTCAGGGAGGGCTTCCCAGGGGAAAGGACATCCTGTGCTAAGGCTCTGAAGATGAGTCTGCATTACTCAGGAAGAGAGGGAAAAGCATCTGGGCAGAGGGAACAGCATGAACAGGTGCAGAGGACAGAAACTGCCCAGCATGCGGGCATGTCTAAGAAACTAAAAGAGTCTGGTATTATTGAACTTCAAATGAGATGGGGGTCAGGGTGCTGGCAGCAGCAGGAAACAAAGAGGCACAAGGGAGGAGTTGGGGCTGTTTATCAAAGGCCCCCAAATGCCACACTGAAAAACTCAGGGGTTACCTTATCCCAGCCCAATGAAGAAGAGTGTGCGAGCTGTGTCTGAGGAGGGAACACAGCTTACTGTGCAGCAGCGCATCGAAGTCTGACTTTGTAAGCATGTCTGTTTCAAAAGCTGTGGACTTCCTGCAGGAATATTCCTACTTCCGCAGGGCCCGAGCCTGTGACTGACAGGGGAGGCATCAAGCTGACAGCCTGAGGCCTCAGCCTCAGCAAACTCGCAGTGGAGCACGCCGCAGGCCACAGTGGAGAAGGGACACTTGCTGGGTCAGGAGCGGAGCAGAAACAACAGTGTGGCAAGATCTCCCTCGAGGGACAGCATCACCTGCTTCAGGGACCCAGTAACCCACGGTAGAGTGGTTGCGCTGAGTTCTACACGTGGCCTCAAGCCCAGCCCACTTCCTAGTTGGGGGGCCTTAGGCGAGGTCACTAACCACTCCATGCCTCAGTTTCTCCATCAGCAAGATGGGCATAAAGCCAGAAGGTTACTGGGAGGATTCATGGAGGTGATGCACGCAAAGCAGCCCGCAGCTGGCCTCAGGTCGGGTTTGTAGGGTGAATACGTTTGTCATCGGAGCCAACCAGGAAGGGCCCTCCCGGAAGAGGCAACACGCAGAGGCAGGGCGTGAGGGAAAGCCCACTGGGTTTTCACAGTCATGCCTTATTTTCACCAACAAAAATAATGCCTGGGCCCATTTTCATGATAAAACGGTCACGAGACACAGTCAGACTAAAGACCCTGCTGCTGAGCATCCCTGGGAGTAAGACAGCCACAGCCACAGGCGTGTGTCCTCCCAGAGGTTTTCTACGCGGTGGCAGGGCCTCCCGCAGATCGGGCCATGGCAGAGTTCAGAACTGGGATTGGGGCCTGGGCCTCGTGCTCCTGGAGTGAAGTGAGTCAAGAAGGCTGGCCCCTCAGCACCTGCCACCCCTGCCGAGCCCCGCAAGGCTGTGACTCAGGAACCCACTCCCGCTCCACACCAAATCCATCACAGGTGGCTGACTCATGCCAGCACATGCTGGGCTGAAGAAAGAAACAGCAACGCTTTTAGAGCCTGTGACTTAGGAACCTACGTCAGTGTCTCTGATGGATTTTAAAAACATATAGCTGCAGCCAGGCCCCATACCCCTCACCCCATCCTGTCCTCCTCCTGAGGGGCTGGCTGATGAAACGAGGTCACCGTGCGGTCTCAGGTGGGGCTACCGCTGCTGCTCAAAACACGCAAACTCTGACATCTGGCTGCTGGCCAACCTCCTGGGGGCCGGATAAGGAGGCCATGGGACAAGTCTCAGCCTGATGCTGGGAGAGAGGTGTGGGGGCTGGCTGCTGACCCTGCCGTCAGCACACGGACACCGCTGGCTTCTTTGAGCACCTCTTGATGGGCAGCTCCTCAAAGGCACAGATCTTTAATGAGGGAGAGTGGCTGGGCTGGGGTAGGGGATGGTCTCTACTCCCTCCAGGAGTTTGGGGCAGAGGCTGTGACCCAGGGCACACAGACACAGCTGGTCATGACATGTGTAACCAAGACATTGGGAGCAGCAGCCACAGGCAGTGGGCTCAGGGGGTCAGGGCCCTGATGCAAGGCTGCCTGTGTTAAAATCCTGGCTGCGTGACCTTGACCAGGTCACTTAATCTCCTGTGCCTCAGTTTCCTCCGGGCTACTGCGAAGACTAAAGGAGTTCATATGTGGAAAGGGCTGGGTAAGAACCCAGTACGTGGCAGTAACACGGGTTTAAGAAAGGCTGCTGTGAGTCTTTCACAGACTCCCCGGCACTCTGCTGACCAGAGAAGGCCCATTTCTTGGACACCCTCCCTGTGCCTTTCACAGGCGCACTGGTAGGGTGTGTGCCAGCTGATGAGGTCATGGAAACTTTGCACTGATGGGAGATAAGGCAGGCCCGGATGCTTGTCCAGTCTCTACTGCAGAGTTTGTTCATGTTTCACAGCCTGTGAGGTATCACTGTCTCCATTTTACAGATGAGGATCCTGAGGCTCAGAGAAAATAAACTGCCCAGAGTCATTCAACCAGTGACCATGGTAGCCAGGATCCTTGACCACAGGTCTGTTTGACCCCAAAGGACAAGCTCACCCAGAGCTGGCTGGGGGCACCAGCACAGCCCATTCGAAGGGGAGCAGACTGCAGCCTGGGGCATGTTTGCCAAGCGGTGGGAGGGCTTGGTGGCAGGGCTGTCTCGTGGGTTGTCACTCCAGGTGCTTGAATAAGCACGATCCCTTCTTGATCACCATCTGGGGCATATATATTTTTTCAGCCCAGGTGGTTGCATCTCCCTGGGGGCGGGAGGCCCACAATGAGGGTGTGCGTGTACGTCTGTTCATCTGTGCATCTTCAGCTTCATCTTCAGTCTTCAGACAGGGCTGCCATTGTAACTTTAGGGGTCTCCAACTCTCATTCTCCTCGTCATTCTCTTCATGGCTGCTTTATCAAAATTACACATTTCCTGTTTACCTGAGCACTCGCTTTCCCCCCAGCTATAGACCCCGGGTCACCCAGGGCGGGAAGCATGGCTGTTTCTCTCCCACTGCAGCCCAGCACCAAGCACAGAGCCAGGCGTAAGGTGGACGCTCAGTAGCACAGAAGCCTGAGTGGAGTGGTTAAAGGGAGGGGCCAAGTCAAAGAGGAGGCACAGGCAGCAGCCGCAGTGTGATGAGGGGCATGGCGGGGAGTGAATGTGGGCGCGCAGGGAAGGGGAGGGAGGACTTCCCCTGAGGGACCCACATTAGCTGAGGCCTGTGGGTGAGCAGTGGTTCCCCAGAAGATGAGGTGGGGACAGAAGGAGGGTATGGAGGCCCAGCAGAGGTCCCCCACCAATCCCCCCACCTGCCTGCGTGCACCATGAATCTCTCCAAGGCCTTAAACCCCCAACTGCGGCCTGCATCTGGCTCCCCTTGCTTCGTAAGGACACGGCTCCTGCAGCCAGCGGCCCCTTCACTCCCCATCATCAGCATTTTCTAGAGCACTCTCCGCAGCACTGATCACTGTCCATTCCGGCCCTGCCTTCCTGAGCCTGGCAGCGACAGCCCTGCTCTTTGATATCTATACATATGTTCCTTTCCAGGCTGCAGGCTCCGCCCAGCCTTTGCTTCCTCCTTCCTGTCTGACTGCCCCTTCTTGCACCTTTTGTTACCCCCTCATCTCCCCACCTCGAAGTGACTGGGGGTAAGGGGCGCCAGAATTCAGTCCTCAAATTGCACTTCTCTCCACACCTTAGGTTCTTAAGGCTTTTGGTGCCACGGATGACCCTTTGCCAGTCTAATGATACCTATGTTTTAAACGCTTAAAATGTTTTTAATGCATATAGGATTACAAAGGAAAGAGACTATATTTAAATAGTAATTAAAATATTTTTAAAGACACATTTGAATATGCTGCTTTACTGATGCATCAAATAACAAGACCCAGTGGTGGGTCTAATAATTACTGTAATTTTTATTTATTTATTTTTTGAGACAGGGTTTCACTGTCACCCAGGTTGGAGCGTGGTAGTGCAATCTCAGCTCACTAAAGCCTCCACCTCCCTGGGCTCAAAAGACCCCCCCCCCCACCTCAGCCTCCCGAGTAGCTGTGACTACAAGCACGGGCTTGGCTAATTTTTGTATTTTTTTGTAGAGACAGGGTTTTGCCATGTTGCCCAGGCTGGTCTTGAACTCCTGACCTCAAGTGATCCATCCACCTTGGCCTCCCAAAGTGCTGGGATTACAGGTGTGAGCCACTGCGCGTGGCCAATCACTGTAATTTTAAAACAGTGATGCATATAAACAGTCTCTGGAAATTATCTGCAACAACTGTAACGTGCTATAAATATCGGCAATTTCTGTTGGTGATGAGGTCCCAGGCACTGCTAATACTACTATGGTTTGTGGCCTACATTCATCGCAGACGGAAATGCTAAACTTTAATTCGAGTTTAGCAAGAACAAAGACGTCAGTTTTTCCCCCATCCAACTTCATAGATCTCTTGCATTCAATCCGCTCTCTTTGGGGGTGTCTGTGGACCCCAGGTTTAAAACAAGGATCTACGGCCTCTCCCTAGGTAATCTTGCTTAAACCAATGCTCCTCAAACTTCAGTGGCATCAGAATCTATGGCGGGGGGGGGGGGGTGGCGCTTGTTCTAGCACAGAGTCAGTAGGTCTGAGGGGGGCCTGAGAATCTGCATTCCTAACAATATCCCAGGTGATGCTGATGCTGCTGGCCTAGGGGCTTGAGGAGCCTCCACTTTGAGGACCCGTGACTTCCAACATCATCTGTTCACTGACAACTCCCACCTCAACATCTGTGGTCCAGCACCCTCTCCTGAACCCTCCACACCTCCAACTTCCAATTTCACCTCTCCCTGTAGACACCTAATGGGAACCCCAAAGGAAGCCAGAGTGGAATGAGCAATGCCCAGCCCTACCTACTTCCCATAGAATCCAGGCTTTTCTAAGCTTCCACGTCCAGAAACAGGACCACCTGGTTGTCAAGACAAAGATGTCAAAGGTTTCTTTGATTCCACATGTGCCCTCAATCCCGCATCCAATTCTTCATTAAGTCTTATTGACTCTACCTCCCTAATCCGACCACATCTCCCCAGTTCCACTGCCACAACCACTACCTGCCACCCCCTCCGGCCCAGCCCCATGGAGCTGCCGAGCCAACCTTTTTTTTTTTTTTTTGAGACAGAGTCTTACTCTGTCACCCAGGCTGGACTGCAGTGGCGTAATCTCGGCTCACTGCCAGCTCCACCTCCCGCGTTCATGCCATTCTCCCGAATCAGCTCCTGAGTAGCTGGGACTACAGGCACCCGCCACCGCGCCCGGCTAATTTTGTTTTTTTGTGTTTTTAGTAGAGTCAGGGTTTCATTGTGTTGGCCGGGATGGTCTCAATCTCCTGACCTCGTGATCCGCCCACCTCGGCCTCCCAAAGTGCTGGGATTAGAGGCGTGAGCCACCGCACCCGGCCGCGAAAGCCATCCTTCTAAGGCTGTGCTGTCCAGCAGAACTTTCCTCAGCGATGGAAGTGCTTTCTTTCTATCTGCACTAGCGCTGCGGCCCCAGCCAGCACATGGCTTTGAGCACTTGAAATGTGGTTGAGGAGAATGAATGACTGAATTGTATATTTTATTTAATTTGAATTAATTTAAATAACCTTATGTGGCTGGTGGCAACCTATTGGATAGTACAGTTCTGAAGCATAAATCTGATTACATTGCTTCCCTGTTTAACCCTCAAATGGCTTTCCATCACAACCACCATAAAATCCAAATTACGGGGCATGGCAAAGGTGCTGTGTGGCAGCTCATGGGCAGAGACAGCCCCCAGTGAACCGCGACCCTCAGCATCCCTGCCTCCCGGTAGTCCCTTCTCCTGAGGCCCGGGCTGGTACGAGACTCACTTTAACTCATAACACACGGCAGGTTTCTCCCAGCAACAGCTGAAACCTTAAGAAGGCCTTGCGGCTTCTGCTTTAGCACTTAACGGAGTCCTGAACCGTCATGTAAGAAGTCCGCCCTGCTTGAAAGATGACCAGGCCTGGCCTTCCGCCCGCCCGCCAAGGACTGTGGGAAGGGACAGCACATGCCCTCTCTAAAGGGGAGCACTGTCCACAGGTGCCAGGTCATTGCCATAATGGGAACACGGACCCAATGTAGTGAGAGCCTCTGACTTTTAAAAGCCAGAAATCTGGACTCCTGATCTTTTCATACTGGTTCTGATACAGTTAAATGCTATACTGGACAAACATAAGTTATCTTTGGGCTGGATGTGGCCACTGAGTTTGCAACCCCAGCTCAGGTGTCAGGGACCGGAGGAAGGGCGTTTTGAGCAGAGGCTGCAGGAGGGACAAGGAGAAGCCAGGAGTGGCAAGTGGCTCAGTTTGCCTGGGGCTGGGAAGGGGAGTTGTGGGACAGGAGGATTGCTGTGTGACCTTGGGCAAGACACTTAACCTCTCTGGGCCCCAGCATCCTAACCTGTCAAATGGTGCTGCCTCACAGCGTTGTTGAGAGGCTCCACTGTCACAGTACCGAGCTTCGAGGAGGGCCGGCACGTGCTGAGCAAAACCCTGCCAGCTGCCACCGGGTGCCTCGGCCCTCCCAAGGGCACTGCGCTCACCCACTTGACTTAGGATCTGAAGCTCCTGGTTCTGGGGACAAAACAACAGTGAACCTTGAATGGCCCTTCAGAGCTGACAAGGTACTTTCAAGCCCGCCTCGCCTCACTCCCCTTGGCTTTATTCCTCATCTCAGCACTTAGCATCCCTGATGCTTTCTGGTTTGTAGACTGTCTCCCTCCACCAGAATGGAAGCCCCACCAGCCCAGGGACGCTGCCCTAGAGCCTATCACCGACCCTGGAACACAGAAGGTGCTTATTCAAATTTTTTTTTGAATGAATGAATCTGCATTAGCTCATTTAATCCCCACACAAACTTGTGAAGTGGCTGGTATCCTGATATTATTATCACCATCACATCCTCAGCCTAAAATGGGTCAAGTGACTTGTAGGGGCCAAGAGGGGGTAGAACTGGGACTTGAACCCAGGGGTGGGGGCTGCAAATCCTCAGGTCTTCTCACCATTGTCTCCCTCATTGGGGAGAAGAGTAGCTCCTTCCTGAACCGGCCATCAGGGGCTTAAAACTGCAGGAAGCCTGGACGCCTGCATCCAGATTCTCAGCAGGGACGGCCAGGCAAGTGGGCACGAGCCCTCGCTCGCCGGGGGCTGTGTCGGGGTCAGGTCGAGTGAGTGCGTACCTCCACAACCAGTTTCCAGGGAGCAAGGAGACAGCGGGAATGGGCAGCAAGTAGAAAGGGCTGAGGCAGGGCTTCCGTACCTTGTTGATGCTGAACTGCCCCTCGAAGCGGCAGCCTGCCCCATTGTTCAGTGGGATCTTCATGGAGTTGTCAATGTGGCCCACTTCATGCCTGCCCATCTCATCCTGAATGTCCAGCCCGACCACTGCAGGAGCCAAAGGGAGACAACAGTCACAAACCCAGAGACACGGGAGGATGGGGGCCAGCCTGTTCTCTCTGGGAGCCTTCATTCATCCATTCCAGGGACAGGCCGGGCTGGGGACCTCCAGGAGCTCATGGTCTGGGGTCCAAAGACTGCAGGGGACAGAATAATGACTCTGCTAAATGTGAGGCTGAGGGGAGGCAGGGCATAGTAGGGGTCCCGGGGCCACCCTGGGGGTCTGCCATACTGGTCCTCTGAATCTGGGTTCTGCCTCAGGTACTTAACCTCTGGATGCCTCAGTTTCTTTCTCTGTAAAATGGGGGGTGACCATAATTGAACCTTCCTTGGAAGATTATGAGGATCAAATAGTTCAGGTGTAGAAAATGCTTAGGGTCTGATGGATGCGAGGTGGAAAGTGCTTAATAAATGTTAGCTCTTGGATCTCAGATAGTCTTTTTATTTATTTATTTATTTATTTTGAGACAGAGTCTCGCTCTGTTGCCCAGGCTGGAGTGCAATGGCACGATCTCGGCTCACTGCAACCTCTGCCTCCTGGGTTCAAGCAATTCTCCTGCTTCAGCCTCCCAAGTAGCTGGGATTATAGGTGCCCGCCACCACGCCCGGCTAATTTTTTTGTATTTTTAGTAAAGATGAGGTTTCACCATGTTGGCCAGGCTGGTCTCGCTTCTGACCTCAGGTGATCCACCCGCCTCAGCCTCCAAAAGTGCTGGGATTACAAGTGTGGGCCACCATTCCCGGCCTTCAGATAGTTATGGGGTGAATAGGCTCAGGCCCCCATCCACTCATCCATCATTCACTTATTCATTCATTCACACATTCCTTTACCCATCGCCTATGCTACCGGGCCCTATGATAAGCACCAGGGACGCACAAAGGGAAAAGGCAGGCCCTGCCCTCTGTCACCTCACTGTAACTCAGATGGCTTCCCCATCTGTAAAATGGGCAGGCCAATGCCAACTTCATCCCCAGAGATGGTCCAACTAGCCAGTGGTGAGAGGATTCCTGTGAACTATGGAAATGCAGGAATTTCCCTGGCAGGAGCGCTAAAAAGGAGGTGCCATACAGAGGAAGAACAGCTGGAAGCAATTTTAAAGAGGGCCAACCTTAAATGGGAAAAATGGGAACAACTCTGTGTTCCTCGATGAGGATGGAGAAGTAAATGAGGACCCATCCATAGAAGGGAACGTGCTGGAGCCATTCAAAATGACCCTCACGGTCCACAGGACACGGGAAATGCCAATGGTAAAATGTGAAGTTTAGAGAAAACACAAGCAGGTCCCCATTTCACTCAGCAGTTCCAATGTTGGCAGCCTGTCCTCTAGATACACAGTGTGTGTCCAGATGTCTGTGCAAAGCTGCTCAGGCAACCTCATTTGAAATTGTGGCAATCGGAAGCAATTCAACCGTTTGTAACCGGAGCCAGTGGAACAGCCCTCTTTCCCAGTGCTGTGCAGCAGGCAGGTACAAAAAATTGGCTAAATGCAGGTGCATGGAGCAGGATCAGAGCAGATCAGTGGCTGAGTTACTAGCACTGGGACCTCGAGCAGGTTACTTAACCTCTGTGCCCCAGTTTCCTCTTCTATCACAGGCTTGTTGTGAGGGTTAAAGAAAAGTAAAACAGGACTGGGCACAGTGGCTCACGTCTGTAATCCCAGCACTTTGGGAGGCCAAGGTGGGAGGATCACTTGAAGCCAGCAGTTCGAGACCAGCCTGGCCAACATGGCGAAACCCCATCTCCACTAAAAACACAAAAAATTAGCTGGGCATGGTGGTGGGTGCCTATAATCCCAGCTACTCTGGAGGCTGAGGCAGGACAATCACTTGAACCCAGGAGGCGGAGGTTGTAGTGAGCTGAGATCGTGCCACTGCACTCCAGCCTGGGTGACAGAGAAAAACTCTATCTCAAAAAAAAAAGAAAGAAAAGAAAAGTAAAACAGCACTTACTATGTGCTAGACTCTCTTCTAAGTGCCTTTTATGTAAGAACACACCATCTTGGCTGGGCATGGTGGCTCATGCCTGTAAGCCCAGCACTTTGGGGGACCGAGGTGGGTGGATCACAAGGTCAGAAGTTTGAGACCAACCTGGCCAACATAGTGAAACCCCATCTCTACTAAAAATACAAAAAAGTAGTCAGGCATGGTGGCGGGCACCTGTAATCCCAGCTACTGAGGAGGCTGAGGCAGGAGAATGGCTTGAACCCAGGAGGTGGAGGTTGCAGTGAGCTGAGATCACGCCATCGCACTCTAGCTCCGGCAACAGTGCGAGACTCTGTCTCAAAACAAACAAACAAACAAACGAAACACCATTTAAACACCCCTGTGGGGAAGACAGTATTATCAGTCCCATTCTACACCTAGGGAAACTGAGGCACAGATACCTCACAGCTAGGAAACATCAGAGCTTGGAATGAAATCCAGGTGGATTTGCTTCTGAGCCCACACCCTTCAGCCATTCTGCTAAGACACCTCAAATCCCAATGCATTTAATATAGCCAAAGGATGCAGGGCAGGGCCTGGCCTGGAAGAACAGAATAAATGGCAGCTGTTATTATTTTACTCATATTATGAGTAATATGAGAACAGCTCCAAGACACTAGCTAGAAAAAAAAACCCCAGAAACTCCAGAAGGTTCCCACATGGTAGGGTCCCAATTAATTATGTAAACAACAACAACAACCCAAACCCAATATGTGTTCACAGACACACACACATGTAGGGGTGGGGAATAGGGACCCACCTTCTAGCAGCGGTGTCCTTTGGGGAAGATGGCATACTGGGACAAGAAGGGAGACAGGGGAGGGGTACTTTTACTTTTTAAAAAACATATTATTTTTGTATTTTTGAATGTATGTCTATTTTAAGATTAACATGTATTCTTCTATTAGTTGTATAATGAAGAATATTATTTTTAAAAGCAGGATATGAGATCATACATGCAGCACGATCTCAGCTATGCTGAGAAACACAGAGAGGAAGGCCAGCTGGACAGAACGATGTGAAAATGCCACCAACACCGCTGTCAGGTAGCAGAATTACGGGTGATCTCTTTTGCTTCCCTGTGTTTTCGAGAAGTATAATGACGAGCATGCATTTTTTCCTACAATAAAAATGTGATGTTCTTTTAAAGAAAAGCCAGAATGCTGGGCTCTAGCAGGGGTGAGGGGCTTGGGGGTTCAGGTTATAGCCCACAGATCCAGCAGGGCATGGCAGGGCACGGGGTAGAGGTTGCCTGGCCCCTCCTGGAACCACATCTCTTCCCTTTCCTACCCCACTGGTCCCAGTCCTCTGGTCTGACTAAGAATTTCCTTGTTCCAGAGATACAGTCACTCCTGAATGAGAACCTGCCAGATGAATTATTTTTCTAAGTGAAAGAAAAAAAAATAACAAAAAATAAGACCGACCTATTTCGACAGGTTCCCTGGCTTGGGGCCCAGCGAGGATTCAAAATTGTGACGTAAATCTCACCCAAAGCAATGACAGGGCTGAGACTCTCCCTATCTCTGGCTGGAGGTGCACCCAGTGTTCTCTCAGCTGTGTCCTTTAACAGGAAGAGGGGGTGGGCAGAGAAGGGCCTGCAGCAGGCTCCGTGCCAGGCTGGGAGGAGGGACGGCTGGAACCCCAGTCCAGGAGAGGACGCCCAGTCTACTCGCGGACGAGTCTGGGGACAATGCATTAGATTCTCCCAAGAACCTCAGACAACAGACATTACTAAGCCCATTGTGCAGATGAGGAACCTGAAGCTCAGAGAGTCACTTAGCCAAGGTCACAGTTTTAGCCAGCAAAGGAGCCAGGATCCGACTCCAAATCAGACTTCAAATGAGTTTTGTTTTGTAGAAGTAACTCACTCTGGGCCGGGCACGGTGGCTCATGCCTATAATCCTAGCACTTTGGGAGGCTGAGGTGGGTGGATCACATGAGGTCAGGAGTTCAAGACCAGCCTGGCCAACATGATGAAACTCCATCTCTACTAAAAATACAAAAATTAGTTTGGCATGGTGGTGCGTACCTGTAATCCCAGCTACTCGGGAGGCTGAGGCAGAAGAATTGCTTGAACCCGGGAGGCAGAGGTTGCAGTGAGCCGAGATCACGCCACTGCACTCCAGCCTGGGTGACAGGAGTGAAACTCCGTCTCAAAAAAAAAAAAAGATTTCATTCTTTTGGTTAAAACAAAATAGGTGTGAAGTCAAAAAAGGAATCTCCCAGCCCTCCCCTGTCGCAGGTGCTCTAGAGCCCTGTCCTGCACTCTCATGGACGGTGGACCGCTCCGGCTTCTGTAGGTGTCGGCCGCCAACGACTCAGAGCTGCACTCTTCTCCAGATGAATGCTCTTGGCTGACCAGAGGTCTTCTTGCTTGAGATGCTTGGGAGGTGATGTGACCCCTGCCACACACACCACTCTGCAGCCATTACCCAATGACATGGATAATAACAGCCTGGTCCCATTGCTACTGGGTGTGACAAATGCTATGGTGTCATTCACACCCCCCAGTATCCTGTGAGATCAGGCTGAGTTTGGACTTCAGCTGAACACACATCTTTACTTATCCTCTTACACTGCCCTATCCTGCATCTCTCACTCCCTTACAGCTTCCTCCCTCAACAAGTCACTTCCATGAGACTCAGGCTCTGCTGCGAAGCTGTAACATGACCCTAAGAGACTCCCTGCCTCGCTGCACCCACACAGCTGCTCTCCAGAGGTAACCCCCATGAGTAGTGTCTTGTGTTTTTTATGCCAGAAAACCTCCAAGTGCATGCATACTCATTATATTCTCCTCCAAAAAAGAGTGGGGAGAACCATGTGTTGGCTTGGCTTGTCCTGGAGATCTTGCCACTTCTGCACACATGCATTTGCCCTGAGGAGGTGTCCTGCTGGAGGGAGGGACTGTGTGGAGTACTCACACTCGCAGTGCAGATTGGGTAAACTGATGTTCAGACTGACATCGATCTTGCCCCCGCTGTCCTTGTCTGGGTCATCGACGTAGAGCTCGTTCACACTAGGGGAGAGACAAGTATAGGAACCTTTGTTGAGATGGGGACGAAGATCTCAGCTGCAGGGGACAGCCAGGGATCACTTCACTTGGCGACCACAACTTAGATAACCCAGACTCAGGCCGGGCGCGGTGGCTCAGCCTGTAATCCCTGCACTTTGGGAGGCCGAGGTGGGCGGATCACGAGGTCAGGAGATCGAGACCATCCTGGCTAACACGGTGAAACCCCGTCTCTACTAAAATACAAAAAAATTAGCCGGGCGCAGTGGTGGGCGCCTGTAGTCCCAGCTACTCGGGAGGCTGAGGCAGGAGAATGGCGTGAACCCGGGAGGCGGAGCTTGCAGTGAGCCGAGATGGTGCCACTGCACTCCAGCCTGGGCGACAGAGTGAAGACTCCGCCTCAAAAAAAAAAAAAAAAAAAAAAAAAGATAACCCAGACTCCATCTGAGCAGAGCCTGTACTTCCTGTGCCCTCAGGCATGGGTCTAGGTTGCACTCTTCAAATGCAGCCTTACCTCTCAAGAGGGGAGGGCTGGACCGGGCACGGTGGCTCACGCCTGTTATCCCAGCACTTTGGGAGGCCAAGGTGGGTGGATCACCCGAGGTCAGGAGTTCAAGACCAGCCTGACCAACATGGCAAAACCTCGTCTCTACTAAAAATACAAAATTAGCTGGGCGTGGTGGTGCATGCCTGAAATCCCAGCTACTTGGAAGGCTGAGTATCATGAACCCAGGAGGCTGAGGTTGCAGTGAGTGGAGATTGCGCCACTGTACTCCAGCCTGGGCAATAAGAGTGAAACTCTATCTCAAAAAAAAATAAAATAAAATAAAGAGAGGAAGGCTGGGGATAGCATAGTGGTAAGAGCATATCTCTCAGGCCGGGCGCGGTGGCTCAAGCCTGTAATCCCAGCACTTTGGGAGGCCGAGACGGGCGGATCACAAGGTCAGGAGTTCGAGACCATCCTGCTAACACGGGTGAAACCCCGTCTCTATTAAGGAAATACCAAAAAACTTAGCCCGGCGATTCGGGCCGACCTGTATCCCAGCTACTGGGGAGGCTGAGCAGGAGAATGGGCTGACCCGGAAACGGAGCTTGCAGGTGAGGCTGAGATCGGCACTGCACTCCAGCCCTGGGCGAACCAGAGCGAGACTCCGTCTCAAAAAAAAAAAGATAAAAATAAATAAATAAATAAATTGAGATCTTTAAAAAAAAAAAAAAAAAAAAGAGCATATCTCTCAGAGTCAGACAGATTCAAGTTCAAATCCTGGGTCTGGTACTTGCTATGCTCACCTCTGTGAACCCACCTGTTAAGTAGGGATAACACCACCCACTACAAATAAGGTGGTTCGAACACTAAAATGAGAAATAGGGGTCTTATGAGGGATCAGGGCCTGGTGCCAACAGGCACAGAGGACCTTACCGCCTCCTCTCTTGAGGTCCCCTCCCCACAGCTGGGAAGCCAGGAATTCCCTGATGCTCATCCCTAGGGGCAGAACCGGTTCTGAGAAGCAACTGGATGGCTGTATTAATTTCCTGTGGCTGCTGTAACAAATTATCACAAAGTGAACGGCCTAAACCAACAGGCATTCATTGTCTTACGCTTTCGGAGGTCAGAAGTCTAAGATGGGCTGTGTTCCTGGGAGAATGCATTTTCTCGCCTTTTTCAGCTTCTAGGTGCTGCCTAGGCTTGTGGCCCCTCCTCCCAATTCCAAAGCCAGCAGCTTCCCCCTTCTCTGACCTCTACCTTTTTTTTTTTTCCCTTTTTCGGAGACAGAGTCTCGCTCTGTTACCCAGGCTGCAGTGCAGTGGCACAATCTCGGCTCACTGCAACCTCCACCTCCCAGGTTCAAGCAATTCTTCTGCCTCAGCCTCCCGAGTAGCTATGACTACAGGCGCGTGCCACCACTCCAGCTAATTTTTGTATTTTTAGTAGAGACGGGGTTTCACCATATTGGCCGGGCTAGTCTCGAACTCCTGACCTCATGATCCACTGCTCCGCACTCCCCACCCCACAACCCTCCCAAAGTGCTTCATCTGGCCCACCTGGCTAACCCAGGATCCTCTCCCCATCTCGAGATCCTTAATGTAATCACATTTGCAAAGTTTCTTTTGAATACAAGGTAACACGGCCACATGCATCAGGATCAGGGACCTAGACATCACTGGGGGCAGGGAGTCATTATTCTGTTGACCGCATGGGCCATAGTTAGGGGCAGGTGGCTCCACAGACAGCCATGTCACCTTGCTGTCAGCAGCACAGTGTTGGCATCTGTTAGCAATCCAAATTTGCTCAACAAATACTTTTTGAGTACCTACTACCTGTCAGGAGCCAGAAACAGCAATGAATCAGACAGACGCTGTCTCTGCCCTTATCAAGCTTATAGACACAAGAACCAGACATCACTCAGCTCCTAAATAAATATGCTGCCACTCCCAGCGCTGATTACTGCTTTGACAGAAAGCTGCAGGGGGCTGTAAGAGGGACTACAGGGCCACTGACCTTTGGGGAGAAGGGGCTGGGAAGACTTCTCTGAGGTGTGACTGAGGTCTGGGGGATGCGTAGGCATCATCCTGGCAGCATGTGCAAAGGCCTGGAGGTTGGGGAGGGCACAGTGGGTTTGGGGAACTGAATGAAGGTCACCATGGTTGTAGTGTAAGGAGGCTGCACGAGGCCTTTAGACTTTTTTTTTTTTTTTTTTTTTGACAGAGTCTCGCTCTGTCCCTCAGGCTGGAGTACAGTGGCATGATCTCGGCTCACTGCAACCTCCGCCTTCCGGGTTCAAGCGATTCTCCTCCCTCAGCCTCCCAAGTAGCTGGGACTAATGGCTCGCGCCACCACGCCTGGCTAATTTTTGTATTTTTAGTAGAGGTGGGGTTTCACCAGGTTGGCCAGGCTGGTCTTGAACTCCTGACCTCAGATGATCTACCTGCCTCGGCCTCCCAAAGTGCTGGGATTACAGGCATGAGACACCATGCCCGGCCGAGGCCTTTAGACTTGATAGGAGCACAGCCACGGAGTCAGGCTTGCACTCTCCTGGGCTCCCTCTGGCTGCTGCGAGCAAGACCCACTGGAGGAGCTGCTGTGCAGGAGGGAGACCAGGCGGGGGATGGCGGCGCCTTGGACGGGGTGGGATGGGAATGGAGAGGAGGAGGGCTGCAGGAACCCACCTAGAGCAGGCGGGACTTGCTGATGGATGGGACTGGGGCAGAGGGAGGTGAGGTGAGCGAGGAATGCAGACACACTGCTGCGTTTCTTCCTGGACCCATTCTTTGGGCTGAGAGCCTCTAGAAGACGAGCAGGACAAGCAGGAGGGAGAGGGACTGAGAGATAGAGGCTGTGCCGAGCCCAGGTGTCTTGGAGGCATCCCGGAGTAGCTGCTGGGATGTCTGATGGCCGCATCTGATTCCCAATAATGCCCCCACCCAGAGGGAACCAAATCTAAAGGCCTGGCCGGGGGGAGGGGGCAGCTGAAGGGGGCAGTGCTTCAGGTGGCTGGGCTGTGGTTAAACATTTATTAGGCCCCTTGGGTCCCGTCCCTCGGCTGTAAAATAAAAGAGAACTGCTCTATCTAAGCAATGAAGACTCCAAGAGAGCTTTGTAAATGGCCACATCTTAGGGAAAGAATGAGTAGGACCAAAGCAAAGGAATTTCGTTTTTACTAAGACCACATCTTTGCACCCCTAACACCTGGTGTGATGCTGTTCACAAGGAACGGTGGGCTCTGAAAGACGCCTGGGGCCTGTTTCTCTGTGGGGCCCACAAGGATATTCCCAGAGACAAGCGTGCAACAGATGGGCCCTCACTCGTTAAGTTAGGAGGCCGACTACACGCATTCATGTCGTCCCGTGTGCGCCTGTGAAATACCCTGAGCCCCATCTGAAAACCAGGAAACAGGCTCGGAGAGGGTGTGTCCCATCCCCAGGGTCACATGCTAGCAAGTAGCTGAGCTAGAATCTCAACCCGGGCTTTCCACAGCTCAGGCTGCCTCCCAGTCCTCTCCTCAGCATCAGGGTCAAGGAAGAAAATGAAGGAGGGCCCTGGTCCTGGGAAGCCTTAGGATGGGAGAGGGGAGACACGGGCCTGCGCTTGACCTTGCTTGTACTGTTGGCTCCAATCAGAGGCCACCAAGAACAAAGAAGCTGGAGGGAGAGGGGCAAACAGGAGCCCAGGAGGCTATAAGAGACAGGACTAGCTGGATTTCCTAGGCCAACTAAGAATTCCTAAGCCTAGCTGGGGAAGGTGGTCGCACCCACCTTTAAACACGGGGCTTGTAACTCAGCTCACAGCTGATCAATCAGGTAGTAAAGGGAGCTCACTAAAATACCAATTAGGCTAAAAGCAGGAGGTAAAGAAACAGCCAAATCATCTATCGCCTGAGAACACAGGGGGAGGGACAATGACCTGGATATAAACCCAGGCATTCGAGCCGAATCGGGCAACCCCCTTTGAGTCCCCTTCCTTTGTACGGGAGCCCTGTTTTCACTCTATTAAATCCTGCAACTGCACACTCTTCTGGTCCATATTTGTTCCAGCTCGAGCTGAGCTTTAGCTCGCAGTCCACCACTGTTGATCCTAGCCGTCACAGACCCGCCGCTGACTTCTCCCCCTCTGGATCCAGCAGGGTGTCTGCTGTGCTTCTAATCCAGCGAGGCGCCCATTGCCACTCCCGACCGGGCTAGAGGCTCGCCGTTGTTCCTGCATGGCTAAGTGCCCGGGTTCATCCTAACTGAGCTGAACACTGGTCGCTGGGTTCTACAGTTGTCTTTCGTGATCCACGGCTTCCAACAGAGCTATAACACTCACCGCATGGCCCAAGGTTCCATTCCTTGGAATCCGTGAGGCCAAGAACCCCAGATCTAAGAACAAAGACCCGCCGGTAACAGGCCCGAGGAGGATCCGCCTCCCTACAGCCAAATGCTCTGCCCTGGCCTTCAGCACCCAATTTCTACCCCAGCTGTAATTTGCAACTCTGGAGAGCTGCTGAGTAATGAAATTGCTGGGTGAT